ATATTCTTAAATGATTTTTGGTGTTGATATTGGATTGCTGGTTTAAACACTCTGAATGCAATTAGTCACTGAAATATATTTTGGGGAACAAGTTCAGAAGTATTAGTATTAATTACTGTTTTTCTACAGGAATTCTTTATTGCCTGAGTATTTTTTGAGAGGGGAGTCCAAAATTCCATTTCCTTACTCATCATGCTCATTTTCCATCTTCCTTCCCTTCTGTGTAAGGTGTTTAAGTATCCCTGGGAGTTTGCCTATCATGCCCAACTCATCTAGTATTAGGGTCCTATGGGTATTCATAGTTTCCATACATCCATTTTTATTTACATGAGGTTGATGATGATGTTCCCTCTCCACTCTTGATTTTGATAAGCATTTTATTCAAATGAGTTTTCTCTCATCTTATTGGACAGTTTATAAGGATATTTTATAGCATTAAGAATTAGTGTACTATCCTCCCTCCTTCCAGTTCCTCTCACTTCATTAGTTTAATCATTCTTTTAATATTCCAGACTTTTGCAGAATGCTTTATCCTCTTGGGTGATATGCCATAGACTTTCAAAGTAGCCAAGAAGCTATAGTAGCTCCTTTTCATATTTGATATGGTTAATTTCCCTCTAGGTTTTCTGTCTCCATGGATAAATAATTTAGCTGGAAACTGTATTTAGCTTGTTGTTTCTTATTTACAATAAGAAACTTTTCATTAATTTTCTATTAATTATCTGATAGCATTATCAGTTATCAAAATTTTTCTCTTTTTCTCACTAGACAATACTGAGACTATCATATTTTCTGTCCTTCAGTATTCACTATGTAAAGAACATGGGCACAGGATAGATCCTAGGTTTATATGTGTTCTGTGTAAACGTCAAGACACAATGATCAATAAAAAAAACCTTTGCTATACCAGCTAGACTCAGTAACCCCTCTCCTTTTTTAAATCAAATCATCTTTGAAGTCTGGACTACATATTTTCCAAAAATACTTCTGAGATATCAAAACTGAGGTGATAAAAGCAATGCTATGCTATTATGATTCAAAATGTACATGAAAATGTGAGTACAAATTCCACGTTCTTTAGTCAAATTTATTGTGAAAGAAGTTATTGAAAATGTGATATGGTGTTCTGTTCCATGCAAGCCTTATCACAAGCATGCATCTTCATACTAGCAGTTTTCTAAATGGAGTTTCATAACAGAGTAGTAAGAACTGTATGTTAGGTTACTTAGTCTCATCTCTCCATTAAGAGTGATAAGACCATTATCATTAACAATGTATGAATAGAAAAAACAAAGTTTTTTATATCTGCAAAAATATATTTATTGGTATTTGTACATAACTATAAAATTGGCACTGTGAATATATTCATAAATTTAAAAAATAAGTGTCTTAAATTGTTTGTGTGTTTAAAATACAAATGAAAATTCCAGCAGATCTGAAATGCATACATAGTTTTATGTTTAAATATAAGGTAGCAAGCATGAGATGAGTGTCGTTAAACCTACATACACTCTGTCCCCTTCTTTTGAATATCCTTGTACTTTTATCTTTAATGTGACTTTTATCTGTAGGGATTGACATAAGAGGATCCACATACTTCAGATAGTTTTGATTTTGTAGTATTTGCATATTCAGTAATCCATCCTGGGAATGGAACCTAAGTGTGAACTCAAATTAATTTGATCAAAGTTCTATTTGATATATTTACTATAGCTTGGGATATGAGGAAATGAGGTCAAGTGCAGACTTTCTAATTGTGATATCATGTTATAATCCAAAACAGTTCAGATCTTAGTGAATTTCATATATGAGGTATTTTGTATAAGATTTTATCTTTTATTACTTCCTATATTTTTATATTTTGATTCTATTTAAGGATACTCACAGAGCTAGTTTAAGAAATATATTTTATGTTTTCTAAGTTGTATTTATTCATGCCTATGCATATGTCTTCTTCATGTATGTTACCATGTATGTGGGTTCCTGTGGAAGTTAGAAGAGGTCATGGTCTCCAGAAGTGAAAGTCTAGTCCTCTAAAAGACCAGCAAGAACTAATAGATGTGTAAATATTGTAATGATTTATTAATATGGTTATGCAGAACACACCACCATTAATAAACTTAGCTCCCATGTTTGTTAGGAATGTTTGTTAGGAATGTGATTCCCCTACTAAAATTGGGAAAACACATTACCTGAATAGTTTACTAAATCATTTCTTAATTATTTTTTATTGTCTCATGTATTACATATCAACCACAGTTTACATTCCCTCAGATTCTGAAAGTCCCTTCCCCTCAATTCTCCTCTCCCCATGATCCATTCCTCCTCTGTTTCCCTCCAGAAAATCATGTTTTCCAGAGATATTAACTGAACATGGCATAACAAGTTATAATAAGACTAGCCACATATCCTCATATCAAGGCTGTGCAAGGCAATCCAGTAGGAGGAAAAGGATCCAAAGAAAGACACAAGAATCAGGGATAGCCACATTTCCACTGTTAGGAGTCTCTTCACAGCAATAGAAAAGATCTGTGTAATGGATATATTGGCCAAAAGTCAAAGTTTCTCACAGCTTCATCCTTCTTTTTGTTTTCTGTCCACCCCTTCTTCCACGATATATTTTGAACCTTGGTTAGGGCAGTATCCATATCCCATTTACCACTGGGAACTTAGCTGACATTTCTTTGCATTACTTTGAACACTTAAGACTCTTCTGTAACAGCTGCTCACAGTAAAAATAAACTTTTCAGACAAAACCTGAAAGGAGGATTTAAATTTGGATGTAAAAAGATACTTTCGATGTCTCCAGAGAGTTTCTTCATTTGCTTTACATTTAAAACCCACTTCCCCATGTTCAGGTAACTACAATGCTGATTTGTATAATTTATTCATTGATTTCAAACATGCTCCTCCTATCATTTCCTCCCCTCTCTCATTCTTTGTCCTTTTGTCTTTTTGTCTCTTCTCCTTTCATTTACTTTCTTATCTATCCTGCTTTCTTACTTCTTGTCTTTTTTCCTGTTCCACAGAGGTACTAATATTCTTCATTAAAAGAAAATAGAGAATGACACAGAGATCAGGGATGCCAGCTTATCTGGGAAGGACAGTAGAGTTGACCGTGTTGGCAGAGGGTGCAGATGAGCCAGGCCTGTGGGCTTAAGAGCAGGAGAGCTGACCTGCCCACTCCCTCATATTCCATGGGGTGCTAAGGATAAGGGGAATATTCCCTCACTACCATCCCTTGCTGACTGAAATAGATGAAAGAGCTGACCATGGTAGCATGAGAACAAGATCTGGCCCTGCCCCTCATTAAGTGCAGCAATTCAGAAAGTGGGCCACACACCTTGCCAGGGAAAAATAGTAAAACTTGTCCTGGTGGTATTAGTATAATCAAACCAAACTCGAGAATGTGAGAACAGAAGAACTGGTTTCTCTCCTTGCTGTCTGCTATACTGAGTGAGCTAGCCAGGGCAATGTTGAAGAACTCACCTGAATGGTGACATTCAGGGAAATCTGGCCAGCTGACCAACTCAGCTGTCACTCAGAACCAGGACTAAGAGGTAGCCCACCTCCACACTAACCTCATCTCTGAACTTCTCAAGCATGTGAAGGGCCCAGACCTGAAGATCCAAAGCCACAGGGTTTCCATGACACAAGGCAACAATACAATATCCAATAATAGTTCCAGTGAGGGCCTAGTATTGATGGTGTATCAGGGGGCTGAGGCCTCAAAACAGACAACTAGTATTTCTTCCTTAGGCTCTTATAATAGGTTTTAAGTAGGCCTGTTTCTAACTTTCTCCTCCATTTTGTGAAGGTTAAATAGGCAAATGTTGCCAAATTGTGGATAACATTCACTCCCTGAGTGGATAAAGTTCATTTTTAACCTAACTGCCAAAACTCTCCATGATCCACTTCATTATTTGTTAGTATTTTCTCAATCACACTGAAAAATCTCATTAAAATTATTACATAAGTAATATAATGGGAACCAAGATTAAAAAAAATAAAAACACAGTGATGTTACAATAAATCTTTCTGCCAAAGTGCCAGAGCCCTTCTGCCACATGGGCAGTCTCCACCAGTCGCCCAAGTTCTGCCTAACACGTGGATGGACAAAATAATACAGAGATATATTAGGTACAAAGCTGCTTGGCCAATGACTAGGATTTCTCATCTGTTAGCTCAGTCTTAATTATCATAAATCTATATATTTTACAAGACTTATCTTATAGAGGATGCCTTTCACTGGCACCCTCTCTTGCCAGTGGCTCACATCCTGCCACTGGAGGAGACGAAGGGGCAAAAGGGACACTTTCTGTTTCTTTTTGGTTAAATATGAGTCTTCTTGCTATGTCACTTCCTGCCTAGATCACCACTTCTCTACTACATTTCCCAGAATCCTCTGACTCCTAGTCCTGTCTAACTTGCTGTCTCATTGGCCAAACAGTATTTTATTCAATAATCTATAAGATGAGCATACACAGTACATTCCCCATCATGGTGAAACTTTAAGATTATAAAAAAAAAAATACATGACATGTGAACTTCTCCTACTGTCATGTGCACATCCTAAATAGTTGCTGCTTTTCCTGGTGTCTGACTTTCTTGTTATGTATATGATGGTACCTGCTACAGCTTTGCTGCTGGTAAATGGTTTTTAATTCTGTATTTTCTTTGGGGAATGTAATGATGTAAAACTTGAAGAAGTTTTCAGACTGAATTTTTTCATGAAGCATTGTGATTGGCCCAGAATGTGGAAGAAGCCTAGCTGTAGTAATTGACTTGATGAACTTTCTGCAGTATTACTAGATGTTCTGCCAGGAGAAAGATGCTGACAGTATTGTAGCTCATTGTAGCTATAGGAAGTGTTTCCTGGAGAAAATAACAAACGTTGCAATACAGAAAAACAAGACATAGGCTATCTATTGGACTATGGTATCTAGCTTCTGTCATTTAATTTTCCTTATTTTTTCTTTCTTTATTCCTTCTTTTTAAAGTGATGAGCTGATATGGAAAAGATGAGTTTATGTTAAAACAGCTTAAGAAAGACCAAGCAACATGTCTCTTTGTAAGTAAACTGTCTTCCCAGGTGAGCCTACCATGCCTTTGATAAATTGATCTGTTAGGATTTCATGAAGAAGACATTAAGGTTATTTACACACTTTGTCCCACATTTCCCTTGTAAAGTTTTCCTGAAGACACAACTAAATAACACCAGCACAGATGGCCTATTATTGCTGTGTAAGTCATGTTGACAGGTATGTTCTCAGCTCTCAGGCTCCTTGTTTTCATTCTCCAGACATGATTGGTAAATAAAGAATTAAAATTTGGAAACATGATTGAGCTTGATTTTTTCTCATATTCGAAGAATCTCATTTGAATATCAGGACTCCATGCCACTGTATCAATGCCACATGTGTGAAGCACTCCTCAGGTTCTATGGAGATGATTACTTATGAATATAGTTTGACTAGTACTGCAAAACGCACAGGAATACACACACATCATACATCACACACACAAACACACAAATACACATACAAGCATACCACATAGACATACAACACACACAAGCACACACATACACACTCACAACAAACACATAAATACACACAAACACACATAATACATTCACAAAACGTCTTCATACACACAAAACACACAAATACATACTCACAACACACACCCAAACTCACGAAGCACACAAAACACATAGATACACATATGGAAGATTGAGTGTAGAGTTTGTGTCTTTGTTTAATTTAGTAGCCATCATAGTCAAGGTCAAACTCAGTGAACACATTTTTCCCCACTGTGATAAATTTTCAGAACCAGATATGTGGTTATTAGTTAACGTATTTAATTTCACATGTTCAGAGTTTTATTCTCATACTATAGTAATATTTTAAATCACAAAAGTCTATAAGAATAAAAATATGATATTTTTCTTCCAAATGAAACATACTATTTCAAAAGGTCAATATATGATTTCAGGCTGCTCCTTTTAAACATCAAAAATAAGTCTGCCATTCAAAATGCCAGAGGTCAGTAAGTCTATGAAATAAGTGAAAATGGATGTGAGTTTTGCCATTGTCAGATCATCTAATCTTATTTCCACTTTTATGAATGCTTCTTAAGTATGTTACAAAGAAATATATCTCCATTAATTGATGTGATTAGATCTATTCACTAAGGGTAGCACTGTTTCTTGCCTGGGATCCTGGACTTCACAAATACATAAAGAGGACTGACTGAAAAGTAACTAGCATTCATCCCTCATTGTTTCTTGATTATGGATATGATGTGACCAGATAAGTTCCTGCCACAGTCACTTCTCTTCCACTGTAGAAAGTCCTCTTGAGCTGTAAGCCAAAATAAACCCTCTCATCCTGAAGTTTTTGTTGTTGTTGTTGTTTTTGTTTTTTTGTTGTTTGTTTTGTTTTTTTGTCAGTGTAGATTATCACAATAGGAAGAAATAGGAAAACTATGTAATATCAGTAGGATAATTATTAGGAACCAATATAATTTGGTCTCCATTTGTGATAAAACTAAGATATTTCTTATCCTACTCTCACATTATGTTAGAACAAATCCAGTTGAACAAATCCATGCTTGAATATTACACACCTATGGGCTTGTTTGAATAATATTAGCAAAATTATATAATTGGTATATCAAACTGGGGTTAGAGTTACTATTTGGTTTAATTTGAAGTACTCTAAAAAATCTGGCAAATACTTTCACAGCTGAAGCTCCACTGTGTATTAAGATGAACCTGTGCATCACTTACTATCATTGATAGGAGCTGTGTCCATGCATGGCTCCAAGGACTTGACCATGACTAGGGGAGGTGAGGGAATGAAGAAAGACATAAACAAATAGAAACATGGGCTTTGGATGACCTGTGATATCAGATGGAAAATACCAGAAGCACTGTGTTTATTCACTGTTTACTTCACTGTTTCACACAGTGAAACAGAGGGCCAGGTTTATTGTACACAGCTGAACAAGGAGGCAGACTTATATACAGATAAACAAGGAGGCACGGTTTATGCTATACAGCTAGATCAAGGGGAAAGGTTCTGCTAATCTCTCAGTAGGAGCAGTCTCTGTAGGAGATTAGTTTTCAGACAAAAATATCTGGATAGAAAAAGTGATAGGTAGTTATTTCTGCACACACTACCAATAGCCACACGTGGGCCAGAAGGGAAGGTTTTGTCATTTCTCTCTGAGTCTCGCCTCTGGAAAAAGGCTGCCATTTGTCCAAGTATATGAGGCTATTAGGATCCTTGACTTGGCTATACCCATGCCAACATCATTAACTCAGCCAGAGCTTAATTCAATCATGGTTTTCTATGTTCCCTACTGATAGAGCTATCATGGACAGACAGAATATGAATAATATCTTAAAACTATGTCATTTATAAAGTTTTATAGCTGGATTTTACAGGAGCCAGTGATGAGATCAAGATGATACCATGGTTAGCTTCAACTGTGGGCTTGCTACAATCTAGAGTCATCTGAGATGATAGCCTCAAGCAATTAATTACCTAGAATGGATTGGTCCCTGAGCATGCATCTGTGGACCGTCTTGTTTTCTAATTAAAGTAGAAGGGTGTATCCCACTGGAAGCAGCACCATCCGTAGGAATTCAGTCCTGAACTGTGTAAGACACCTTATACAGTTAGTATAAGTCGGTCTGTAATCCAGAAAGAACTTAACAAGTTTTGCTTAACAAATTATTCTGTGCTGTTCTCAGAAGACCTTTGATTATATCTTCTTCTTGCTAAGACACAAGACTCCAGCTTCTTTGGGATAGGAACATATTTATTGTTGAAGCCAAATCCAGCAAAACTGTCCATTGTTTACTTTTTACAGCAGGGCATTAAGTGTTTTCTTGAAGGGGAATCAGTACAATATCTCTGTGTCTCCTACATATACTTTGTTTTTCCTGACTTAAAAGCAGTTGATTTCTTTTTTTCCAACTTTTTTTATTTGAATTAGAAAGAGGATTGCTTTACTTGACAATCCCATTTCCCTTCTCCCACCCTTCCTCCCCCACCCCCCACAACTAAAACCTTATCTGTCACATATCTTTTCTGCTCCCCCTGGAAGGGGAGACCTTCCATAGGGTGTCATCAGAGACTTTCATATCCTTTGGGATAGGGCCTAGGCCCACCCCTGTGTGTCTTGGCTCAGAGAGTATTCCTCTATATGGAATGGGCTCCCAAAGTCCACACCTATGCTAGGGATAAATACTGGGCCTCTACAAGAGGTCCCATCGATTTCTGAGGTTTCCTCACAGAAACCCATGCTCCTAGGGTCTGGATCAGTTCCATGCTGGTATTCCAGCTATCAGACTGGGGAGCAAAAGTTCCCGGATGTTCAGATCAGTTGTCTCAGATCAGTTGTCTCTGTGAGTTTCACCAGCCTTGTCTGGACCTCTGTGCTCTTCACTGCTCCTTCTCTGCATCGGGTTCCAGTTCAGATCAGTGATTAGTTATGGGTGTCTGCTTCTACTTCCACCAGCTGCTGGATGAAGGCATATAAGTCAGTCATCAATCTCATAATCAGGGGAGGGCTTTTAAGGTAGCCTCTCCTCTGTTGCTGAGATAGGTAGCTGGTGTCATCTTTGTAGATCTCCAGACATTTCCCTAGTGCCTGATTTCTCTGTAAACCAAAAATGTCTCCCTCTGTTATGATATCTCCATTCTTGTTATCGTGTATTCTTCCCTTGACTCATACTTTCTGCTCCCTCATGTCCTCGGCATCCCTCTTCTTCTCCCCTTCTCATTCTCCTAGCTCCCTCCCCCCTCTTCTCGTGCTCCCAATTTGCTCAGCAGATCTTGAACCGCTCCCCTTCTCCAGGGGACCATGTATGTCTCTCTTAGGGACCTCCTTGTTTATTAGCTTCTTTGGCAGTGTGGATTGTAGGCTGGTAATCCTTACTCTATGTCTAAAATCCGTATATGAGTGAGTACATATCATGTTTGTCTTTTTTGCAATTGGGTTACCTCACTCCTTGTGATTTCTTCTAGATCCATTCATTTTCCTGCAAATTTCAAGATTCTATTGTTTTTTGTTTTCCACTGAGTAGTACTCCATTGTGTAAATGTACCACATTTTCTCTATTCATTCTTCGGTTGGGGGTCTTTATAGATTTGTGGGCTCATAAACTAACTGGGATAAGGGTTCTGTCAATTTTTAAAGGAGTAAAATCCAATAAATCTACTCAATTAAAACATTACAAGGTATCTATCTTTTCAGGAAATATTGTTGAATGAATTGTATTCAAATATGAATATGTGAACATGTGTGTATGTGCCCATTCATTTGTGAATGTATTCAAACATCACAAATATACAGTACTGTTCCAGATAAAACCTGAGTAGTCTCATTTTAGTGTTTTCTTTCTTATTCCTGGTGTCACTTCACCCTGGAAGTGTGTGAGTAGAAATATAAATGATTCCCATCCCTAATACACTCAATGACTTAAGACCATGTGCTATCGTTAGAGTTAGTGTAGGGGTATCTTGTCCTGACAGTAAACTTGTGGTTGTGGCTACATGTGATTTCAGGTGAAGACTTGACCCCTTATAAAGTAGAGAAGGGGCTGGCACAACCTCTCTTGGGTTTTAGAGAGCATCAGAAGGGCAGAGACTGCATCTTCTGGAGCAGGAAGACCGAGGTGGTTATTTACTCTTATCTGTGTGTTTCCCTAATAAATACCTATTTATCATTTATCTTAGATCTGGTGGACTCATTTAAACCCTGCCTTCAGATTAGTTTTGTTAAAAGCAGCTTGGGGAGGAAAGGTGTCATTTCAGCTTGCATTTGCAGGTAACAGTCTATCACAAAGGGAAGCCAGGGCAGGAAGACAAATAGTGCAGTAAGTCAAACCTGGTAGGAATCTGAAGGCAGGAGCAGACACCATGAAGGGATGCTGCTTACTGTCTTGCTCCAAATGACTTGTTCAGCCTGCTTCTTATAGAAGCCAGGAACACCAGTCCACGAGTGGCAGCACCCAGAATGCTCTGGGCTCTCTCATTTACTAATTAAGAAAATTCA